TCTACTCTCTCTCTCTCTCTCTCTCTCCTCCTTCTCTCTCTCTCTCTCTCTCTCTCTCTCTCTCTCTCTCTCTCTCTGTCTATCCATCTAACTATTTATCAATCTATCTATCTATCTATCTATCTATCTATCTATCTATCTATCTATCTATCTATCTATCTATCTATCTATCTATCTATCTATCTAACTCTCCTCTCACTATCTCTCTCACTGTCTCTCTCCTCTCACTATCTCTCTCACTGTCTCCCCCCCTTCTCTATTCACATACGCACCTCGACGGGCTCCATATCGACTGTCAGCTGCTTGGTGGCGATGTCGATGTTAACGCTGCCACGGATCGGTTTCTCAACAGCGAGCTGAGCGGTGATGCCAGCGCCTGCGCTGAAGGTGGCCAGCTTGACTGTCATGTTTCCGACGATGTCAACGATGACCCTGTAGGAATTAATGAGAACGTATTTATTTATTTATTTATTAATAATAATATTGTTAAATTTAAATGTTTAATTAATTAATTTCATTTATTTATAATATTGCGATATTTATTTTTTATTTTTTTATTTAAATATGGTACATTGGTAGAAGATTTATCAACGTGAGTCCTTTACGGTATTACGGTAATGTGTGGGTACTGCGTATAGCAAGGTGGTGGGCGTCTGCAGGAAAAATATTGCGACAATGCAAGTATGCGGCGTGATTTTATAGCACGATAGTCGAGGTTACATATATACTTTAACTGTGTCGGCATATTTTGATTATTCGCACAAGTTGCTATAGTGCCGCGATCAGAAACTGGTGGGCATTGACAGGAAATATATTATTGCGACAATGCGAATATGCTATAGCTGCTCGACTAGTCTACGCTAGAGTACGCTAGATGGCGCTGAAGCGCGCACTGACCTTGGGACGATGTCCGCGGTCAGTGTCAGAGAGTTTGGAATGTTGAGGCGCTGGGTCTGGTACAGAGCCGGCTCGAAGGAACCCCTCACGACGCCCTTGTTGGTGATGACCTTGACTCCACACAGGTGCAGCTGCAAGGGCAGACCGGCGTGTGTCGGCACGATGGTGCGAGCCATGACGAGTGGCTGAATCTTGGTGAATGTGAGATCGTATCCCTCGCGCAGCTTCCTCTCAATGTTGGGCAGGCTGACCATGCCTGAGGGAGAAAAGAAAGCATGGAGGACGAACGTATTATTACGTTGAAGAATATCAACGTCTTGATCGAACGTCAAGGATGGTCTGCTACTATTTTTTCCCATATCCAATTTTCAAACGCTTTTAAGTAGTGAAAGCATATTCGCTAATTACGAAAGCGCGTGTGCTTCCACCGTGATCTCTGAACGGTGAACATATTTCGCTTCTTCGCAAATATTCGTTCTCGGTTTCGTGTTTAGATTTGTACATACTTAGACGCATACTGCGTTTTATATTATACAGAGGAATATATGAGCGAGGCGCGTGAGGCAGCATCCTTATTTATGATCTAATTATTAGATTATATATTATATATCTGGTTTAATATATATATATATAGTTATATTTATTATTAAATTATATTTTTTGTCTATCTATGCTCTTAATTACACCCCTTATGGAATAAAAATGGGCAACAGCGCCACTGAATCAAAACGGGATTATAATAAGACGGATACTATCTCCGTCTCTCTCCTATGTTGCTATATCTACCTTCGTTCATGATTCCGCGGACGATGTCGGCTCCGTACAGGTCTACGAAGGTGATCTCTCTGCCGAAGACCTTCAGGTTTGCGTAGATGCTTGGCTCGTCACTCTCCCGGTTAACGATGTTCATCTGTAGGGAGGAGGAGTTATGAATATATCGTCTATAGCACTGTTGTAATTATCGTTGTAATTATTATTGTATTAATTATTGTAATTATCGTTGTAATAAACACATTGTGATTATCGTTGTAATTATTATTGTATTAATTATTGTAATTATCGTTGTAATAAACACATTGTAATTATCGTTGTAATTATTATCGTATTAATTATTGTAATTATCGTTGTAATAAACACATTGTAATTATCATTGTAATTATCGTTGTAATAAACACATTGTAATTATCGTTGTAATTATTATTGTACTAATTATTGTAATTATCGTTGTAATTAGCACGGTGTATTATCGTCTATAGCACCGTTCTCACTCGTCCCACTCCACATAGCGGCCATTCTACGCGAACCGTCTCATTCTCGTTTGTACCTACACCCCGCCGTGAGTCGTGAGCTTGTATTTTACCCACAATAGCGTGTGCTCGTATAGTTTGCTACGGTATTTGTTTATTATCGTCTATAATTCCGTTCCCACTAGTCTCACTGCACATAGCGGCCGTTCTACGCGAACTCGAAGGTGGTCTTTAATTCTCGTTTGCATCTTACCCCGCAGCGAGAGGTGAGCTTACATTTTAACCACGAGTGCTACTGCCTACTCGTATAGTTAACTAATAAATCTCGTATAGTTTGCTACGGTATTCGATACTCGGGTTTTGCGGGTATTCGTCGCCTGACTTACCCTCCTGGTGAGCTGATCGACCTCGGCGGCGTTCCTGTTGTCGAAGGATCCCCTGTATCCGAAGATCTTGTCGACAAGCGACTGCACTCCCTCCAGACGGATTCCGGCCTACGCAAGTTTATCAGCGAAGAAATAGAGAGCTATGTTAGATTTAGCGATTATGCTAGGCACTTTGTATCGGTTTTGCTAGAAGTTAATATTAGATTATTTTCGTACTTATTTTCTTATACTTCCGGGTGTAGTTGGGTTTGTCCGCGGGCAGGTATTACGTAAGTGGGAGAAAAACGTGATATATTGTATAGACTGTTGTATTTGAATGACATTACGCGATCTGGTGAATTTATTACGATGTGTTTAAACACCGGTTGAATTTACTTCGAGAATTTCGATCTTGCGTCCTTTCAAGTTCAGAGAGTACTTGGTGTTGATGGCACGTGGGATGACACTGTCAAGACTGCCAATCCTGTACATCTCGTTGGTGATTCCAGCTTCGAGTTTCGCTGCGGGAAGATAAAATGCAAAATCACAACGAGCTCGGACCTCGCCCATTGCGTGTGTAGGATCGTATATATATGATATTATATATATATATATATATATATATATATATATATATATATATATATATATATATACTACTACAGTACGTACGTACGTACTAACTAACGACTAACGTACTTACGTTAATACGTTACGTCGTATTATTGTTACTTACGTTAAGGTACGGTA